CTTCCTCTCTGCTCTCAAAGGGCCTCCTCTCAGCCTCCTAGTTTTCCATCAACTGGAGGGAAAGTGAAGTCTGTTTTAGGTGTAGTTGCCTCTGTGGAGCACCCAGTTGTCTTGACACCCTTCAAAGGTCCGAAAACAAACAAAACCGCTTCTGTGGTGACGACAGCAAAGCACACGGACGCTTACACAACAGTTACTGTTGTGTGAAATGATGTGTTTGTGTCGCACACAGAGCGTGGAAGTGTTTCAGTAACACTTAACATAAATAGCACATTTATAATTAATAAAGTTAAGGTCTTAGTTTGGGAACTGTTAAATATCGCCAAATCTAAGACTGCCGCTAGCTGTTTAAACCTGAAACAATGTTTCCTTCTTTGTGTTTGATTGAAATGATTTATTTTCACTTTCTGATGATTTGCCTGTTGAGACAGATTCTCTAATAACAGCTTTGCTTCCAGGAGCTAACAGCCACACTCCCTTTCAGTTCTTTCTCCTTAATGTTGAAATCCTGTAAGACACGTTAAGGATTTAAAAATAAATAAAGGAGGGGAGGGGCTGAAAATGAAGAGTAACTTTAACAGCTTAGCTTAATACTCCCGGAGACTCAAGTGGACAAAAGGCAAATAGACTTTTCCAGAGTTTTGCTGTAGTTTCAGCCACACGACCTGGATGGACTCCTGGCACCATTTACACAACTCTGTTCTCTTGCTACAGAATTTACACAAAATAGTACATAAAGAAAAAGAATAATTTATCAGCTGTGCTTCTGTTTTTTAAAAAGGAAATTTCTTCAATCAATTTACTGTGGTACAATTTTCCTGTGTTTTGATTATAAATTGCACTTTTTAAAAAGTAAAATAAGAGGAAGTAGCTCTAAAGTTACTTAAAAGTTGTTCAACTTGATTTCTCTTTAATCAGAAACGGAAAGTAAGAGCGAAACATTTTGAACCTAAATGCAGAGGTTGAAATCTTGAGGTAAAACTGTCGTTTTTCTTAGCTGCAAATGTTCATCCTGGAAGATTGTGACCATTTTTTTAAAAGTAGCTGCCGTTATTTTTCAAATGAGTGAATCCAGAGGGCAAAATGTTCGACTTATCTGCTACAATGTCCAGTTAAAAGGGTGCTTTTTTTTTATCTTGTGATGCAAAGATTACAGTGTTTAGGAGGCATGAAAAGGAAATGTCAGAACTGTCAAAAGGAAAAACAACTCGACTCAACTTGCAAGCTTCTCCCAGCTCTTGTTGTTGGAATTGTTGGAGAGAAAGCCCCCATCATTTATTGCTAAGCCTGATTCAGTAATGTGGAAAGTTTGAGTGGAACCACAGTAGGAACTATTGTAAGCCAAGACCAGATACTGTAGAGCAAACCAAGACACGCTGGAGTTTTTCCAATCTGTTTCCATTCATTCACAACAGAGAAACACACAGAGGAGGAAGCAGGATCACACAAGTTACAACACAGAGACCTCTAACCTCTTCAAACAATTAAATATACTGTCATAATGGTGGATTTATAGACACACAGGTGTAGGAAAACTTGTAGGAAAATCAGCAGAACTGTAATAAAGATTATTTCTGATCATTTATAAGTAGGTTTAATTTACTTTTTTAGTAAACGTGGCAGAAGGTGACAGTCTAAAAGTCCAAAAATGTGTAGTGGGCACACATGGGAAGAAGATGGTGTGACAAACAATCTAAATGAGGTTCAGACGAACGAATGCAAGAACACAAAATCCTGTGTTCCTAGAAAGCTCGACCAGTCCTGACAAGCAGCACAGCTCAATCTGGCAGCGAGCAAAGAGAAGCTAAACGCAGGGAGGAAGTAGAGCTGACAGGAACAGACAAGTACCCACAATAACAAAATAAAACAGGAAATGACCTGATAGAAATTTAAAAATAAAATAGTTTGTTTATCAAGCGGCTAAACAGGTGTAGAGTGCAACATGTAAACAGTGGGTGTCTTAACTATGACCCATTGTGCTAACGTTAGTAGACTCCCTCAAGGGCCCATTTTGAGCAGGGAAAACACTGCTGACCATGGCCTGAGTTTCCAGTAATGCGGTCAGTGCACAATCCCTGTGAGTCCACACTGATCTAAAAGCTCTGTTTCATTTAGGTTTCTGATGCTGGATAAAGTCGTGGGCGGAGTTTTACTCATCTAAAGCCTTACTTGTAGATATGTCAATGCTAATTAGAAAACTCAAAAACCAGTTTTATTTTTCTCTCTCATCTACGTGACACTTACTCTGAGTTTCTTTCTGATTTCTCAGACTTTTTATCTAATTTGGTGCTCAGCTAAAATAATTATTGTGAGCAATTTAATTTTAACATACACATAGATGCTGAAAATGACAGCCTCAACACGGCGTCCAATCTATAATTAGACTCATTTGGCTTCTTTTAAAAAACTAAAGAGCCCACCCACCACTTTGATCACACTCTGGAGCTTTATCTGAAGATCCAAAGAGTGTTTAAATTATAAACAACAACAACCCCTCCTTTGTCTGATCATTTGTTAAAAACATTGCAATTCATTATTGTAAATGTAAAAGCGTGGGGAATAAATTTCATTACAGTAGATTTCTTTCTGAAGTGCTGTAACTACGTTTAAGTTCCTCCACTGTTGCCTCCTTACATCCTCACTGTGTACGACTGTCCCCACCGTCGTTACTTCTTTCCTGCTCAGTAACACCAATAAAAACCAGCACCAATGAGAACACACACGACTTTCAGTGGTTATTTAATTGGCGTCACACCATTGATCTCTGTTTCTATCAGCAGGCATGCAGTGGAAATATTTGGTTATCTATAGAAACAATGAAAGGAATAAGAAACAACGAAACAACAACTGCAGCAAGTCAACAGTCACAAAAGTAATCGACATGTTGTTAAAACAGTCGGCTGATCATAAGTTGTTTTTGTTTTTTTTAGTGTTTTTATTCAAAGGTAAATAATTTCAGAAAATTTTAGAGGTTCTAAAAACTGTCAATATTTATTATATGAAACCTAATTAAATAATCTAGTAGATAGACCTGCGAGCATCAGTAACATTGTATTTAGCATAGTTTCAATAGCAAAACTTCTCAGATGTGATACATTGTAACAGAAACCAGCATTGATACACTGAATGTTTCTGATTGTTTATTGGAGAATGTTTGGAAACTCATATCACCACGTGGGCTTCAAACCAGTTAAAACATATGAAAAGTTTTCTTTGTACCTATACTTTGATACCAGGCTCTTCATCTTGCTTGATATCTTCTATAATTTTCTAATGTAGTTGTTTTTTACACACTGACAAATGGATCTTATGTCTGTGAAATAGAGAAACCGGACTGCATCCATTGGGGGTGAACTGTCCCTTCAATTAGCACCAACATATATAAAAGCATATTAAGTGTTAATTCAGAGCACTTGTTTTCTTTCTCTTGTCATTGTGTTCGTTTCAGGTTTTATTTTCACTAAAAATGTTGCTTTTGTGTTGAAATACTTGCTTTAAAGCCTGTTTTTGGTGTTTATGTAACTTTTGTTGTTAAAAAAAAATCAAACAGGCGTCTTACTTACACTCAAAGATAGAAAGAGAGTTACTGTTTAACTAGTTTGAGGGAGAATATTTAAGCTCATCTATCTCTGATTGGTTGAAACAGAGTTGTCAGGTTTTTCTAATCAACAGTAAAACAATGGCTGATAGAATAGAAAATTTTAAAGGCTTCTTCTGGACTCTATCAGGATTCTACTGGCACTAAATAAAAGTCATTTCTCTGTCGTGAACTCGATCGAGCAGTTGAGATTCGCCGCCTCGGCCCCGTCCTTGAAAGCAAGCAGGAAGTACATGACCTTCCTGACTTTGGCGAGCTCTGCAATCCTTTCGCCGAATTCCTGCATATCCGCCTCCAGGCACTTGAGCTGCGAGTCCTCGGGGTCGCCGGCATTACGCCAAAATGTTCCAATGGGCTCCAGCAGCTGCCGGGTCATCAGGTTGGTGAGGTCGGGGGTCCAGTGCTGGCAGATACCGGTGATGGTGACGCGGCCGTAGCCGGAGAGGGAGAAGTACCAGCGGGAGAAGTTCAGCTCCTGGATGGCAAAGTCCAGCCGATACACGGCCTCGTAGGGCAGAAGCAGACGCTCGCCGTCCTGACGCTTCTGCCCTGACCGCTGCAGGGAGGACACGCGAAGGCGCATCATCTGCACAGGAAAGAAGCACACAGGAAGTCAGTTCATGTTTGGTTTGGAGGAAACTTTCAGTCTGGGTGCCGGTATCAGTCTCTGATAAGACTCATAATGACGGGAAGGTGATGGGGCTCAAAGGTTTGTGCATTTGTGTCAGAATAAGCAGTGTTTTTAAAAGAAAAGCAGATGAATGGCACAAACGGATGATGTGCTCTCTGGGCTATTTTATACAAAGTGCCGTTCACACCTATAAAATTAAAATTATGAGTCTGCAGTTTTATCAACTATTATCATTTTTTTTTAAATATTTTGTGCAACTCCACAGAGGAGATGATAGTTGAAGTGTCACAGGCACTGCTGCTCTATTTTTAAAATGTTTTAAAAAAATTTAAAAAAAACATTTTTTTGACTGTAAAGTTAGTGCGGCTGCTTTGATTGGCAGGCTTGCCGACACAGACTGTTACAGCTGATTGTTACACATCTGCTAATGAACACACGCACTGAACTGGACCTCTCAGCTGTGCCTTTTGGAGCATATTTAATGGAATTAGCCAACAAAAGATATGTCCTGTTGTGCTGTTTGAGGAGTTTTACATTTGAACTCAGTCATAAAAGCTGATCTGTGACAGCCACACAGCTGAGTGATCACATGTCAGTCTGATGGGACTTTTGTGCATCTTTGTTACCATCACACACTTGACCTTTTAAATTTTGCCCCGCCACATTATAATAATTAAAAAGAGCTAAAGTTACACAGAAAATGAAACTTTATATGAAATAAACATTAAAAACTGTACTTGCTCTGATCCAGCTGCACTTTATTCTGAAATTTTCATCCACACATTGTGCCAACAGACTTTTCTGTTTTGCATCTGAAGTTGAGAAGTAAAAGCCTCACCTCTGTCAGCGCGGTGTCTTCTTTGAACTCCAGCACAATCGTGTTGGAGGGAGATTTGGCCTCATCAGCGTCCATCTCTAAGGTTTTATTCCTGGGATAAGCAGAAAGGAAGAGCCTGCCTGTGTGGATGGATGCTGTGAGAGATGAAGCTCTGATGGAGTTTCTAGTCTCAGCCTCTTTTCTTCTCTCACTCTATTCTCATAGGCTCCTCTCCCCCTCCTCCCTTCCCAACAGTTTCCATCACAGTGTACCACTTTCTCATTTTGTCCCATCTCCCCCCTGGAGCCCACTGGGTAGTTTGGTTGGGACGTATTGATTAGCACGAGGGGGCAGGAGAGATGAGATCGATGCAAACATCTGATTATTGTGACAGTAACGGTCACATTTGTTAGTCGTCTGGTTGTGCAGCCAACCCTGCTCGGGTTATTTCAGTGGTCCAGCCTGAGTCAGACGTTCCTGCAGAAACTGAACATTTCTGCAGAATCACACAGGTCAGCTGTTTGTAAAGCAGCTTATATTTGACATGAACGCTGAAGCTAACACAGAACAGCTGAGAGCATTTTCTGTAGATTCGTTTTTCTCTACAGACTGTACAAAATGTTTGAAAATACTTTTTGAGGTCTTTTTTTTTTTTTTTTTTTTTTTTTAAAGGCTTTAAGCAGGCAGGTGATGTGTGAAGGTGCTAAGCAACAGGAAACGCTGCTGACGTATGACAGGGAACGGTGGGAGTTTCCTGAGGGCTTCTGGGAGCCCGGCTCGTCTTAGCTCAATGGATCGCTTATTTATTTATATCACTCACTTCACTGGGGAGTGTGTGTGTGTGTGGATTATGTCAACGTGTTGTCAGCTGGGGTTTCAGCGCAGGATGTGGATGGATGACGTTCGCTCGTTAAAAACTTTAATCCTGAGTTGCTCCTGTTAATCAGAGACGCTGAATGTCATTAATGGGAAACGAGTGAAAATCGGTCGTTTCAATCTTTTTCTGTACGTGTTCATAGTGTGGAGCTGTTGTGTTTATCTACATTGGTTTTTGTTTTTTTTGTTTTTAATAGAAAGTAAAGATGAGAAAATATATTTTACATTAGAGAACCCACAATCGCTCCCTGTCTGCACCTGAACACGTTTTTAAACACTGTTATGTCCACATACTGTTTGTTTAATATGTGGCTTACATTTAAAACAGCCTTCAAGGACATCACCTGTAAAATAAATGACGCTGCAGCAGCGATGGTCAGTCGCACCTTTGAGCTGCGGTCCTGGTGTTTCCTTTGGGCGTGATTGAGGTCTGGCCCTAGATTCTAATTGGCTGTTGAACAAATGAGTTATAAAACTCCCAATGTCACAAGGTGGCGCTGAACCTCATTTAACGTTGACGTGCAGATGTTTCCAGGCGTGTAAAAGGCCTGAAAATGACCAAAACGGCATCTGTGGGCGACTTCCTGTTGGATTCAGGGCGCAGATCCCCGGGAGGCTGCTCCCCAGATATGACACAGCTGAGCACACCGCGGTTACGTCTGAGCTCGAGTGAGGTGATGACCATGGTTTTTATGTTTTTTCTGGGGTTTTTTTTTTTTTTTTTCAAAGGTGATTCCTGACTGGAAGGATCAGGAGTGGGACAAAGACAAACCGAACTCCTACGCCGGGATCTTCCACTTCCGCTTCTGGCGGTTTGGAGAGTGGGTGGACGTAGTGATCGATGACCGGCTCCCCACGGTGAATGGACAGCTGGTGTACTGCCACTCCAACGACAGCAATGAGTTTTGGAGCGCGCTGGTGGAGAAGGCCTACGCCAAGTAAGCACTTCCTCAGATCAGTAACTGAAAACAGCAGCTAATAAAAACAGAGGATATGAAGAGGCAGGAAGAAATAAAATCACTTAAATATTTTACAGCTGTGGAAAGAAAAGAAACACTCGAGGAAACTCATGTTGAAGAAATGACTCAGGAATACACAAATGCATTAGAAACTGACCCAAGGCTCTCCAGTGACATAAAAACAGGAACTGAAATTAAAGTAATTTAGCTCAGAACCAATAACGCGATACATGGAGGAATTTTAAGAACTCTGATTGGATGATTTGTTTTTCCTGAAACATACAAACAGGTGAGTTTGTCCCAAAATAAGGACTGACACCTTAAACTCTGAAGGAAAGTGTTCCCACAAACTAACATAGGACAGGAAGTCTCTTTGCACAGCTGTCGCCATCTGGTGGACTTCAGATAGAACGCAGGTTTAAGCCACCTCCACAGTGGCTTCATTTTTCCCACTCGGAAGCTACGTCCATGTCTTACAAGTGCTGAAACCTTCTGATTACAAGGTGCAGCCAATCAGAAAAGGGTTAGTTTAAAGGGGGAGGAGCTAAAACAGCCCTTTTCAGATGAAAATGGGCTGAGGAGCCTCACAAAGGCAGCATAAGATAAAGGAGGATTAATGTGAACTGAGTCCGTGAATGAGTCCAGTGTAAAGTTTCCTTCTGTGCTTTTAGAGATGAAATCTGAGGGGTCCGATTTTTAACTCTGACATTTTTCCCTTAAACTCAGGGACCACCACAGCAGATCTGTTTTCTCATCAACAGTGAAATTCAAACAGGTGCTGATGTGATCCTAGTTTAACATTTCACAATGTTAACGTCAAATTGATTAAATATAAATTTTACTCCCTGTAATTATGTTTAATTAGCAATAAAAATGATGGCATGAATCCCTGACTCTGTGTTGTAAATCTCGACAGTTACTTGAAAAGCAGAATGAGACTCAAACGTTTGTTTATAGTAAAAATAAATGTAAATGTTTGTGTGTTTTCCAGGATGTACGGGTGCTACGAAGCTCTGGATGGGGGCAACACGGCCGATGCTCTCGTGGATTTCACGGGAGGCGTGTCCGAGCCGATGGATTTGATAGAGAACGGGTACAAACAAGACGAAGAGAAGCAGCACGAGCTGTTCGAGAGAGTCCTGAAGGTTCACAACAGAGGAGGCCTCATCAGCTGCTCGATCCGGGTAAGGACACGTCAAACGCAAACCCACGCCAGCCAAACGAATTCATTCATCTTCTCGACGTGTCGTTCCAGGCGACCACTCAAGCGGACATGGAGGCCAGGCTGGACTGCGGCCTGGTCAAGGGCCACGCCTACGCCGTGACGGACGTCCGCAAGGTGAGGCTGGGCCACGGCCTGCTGGCCTACTTCAGGTCAGACAAACTCAACATGATCCGCATGAGGAACCCCTGGGGGAAGAGAGAGTGGAACGGGCCGTGGAGCGACAGGTGAGGAAGAGAGAAATCCTTTGAACAGGTTCTCTTGTTGAGATCTGTGGTGTGATACAGATGATACAGATGAAGCGTTTGTGCCTGTTTGCAGCTCTGAAGAGTGGCAGAAGGTCAGTAAGAGTGAGCGGGAGAAGATGGGCGTCACTGTGGAGGACGACGGAGAGTTCTGGTGAGTCTTAGTGCTGCGCTGCCACCTGGTGGCTCTTTTTCAACTTTATCTCACAGTAAATCATACGAGTCCTTTCTCTCCTCCTCCTGCAGGATGACATTTGATGACTTCATCGCCAACTTCACCGACCTCATCCTGTGCCGTCTCATCAACACATCCTACCTGAGTTTACACAAGACCTGGGAGGAGGCGGTGATGCGGGGCTCCTGGCACCGCCACGATGACCCGCTGCTCAACCGAGCTGGAGGCTGCACCAACAACAAGCACTCCTTTCTCCAGAACCCGCAGGTGTCTCATTTGTTCAGAGTTTCAGGTTAAAATTCATCCTGTGCGTTTATGACTGTGTGCATGTTCGTTTCTGTGTGTCGCAGTACGTGTTTGACGTGAAGAAGCCAGAGGATGAGGTGCTGATCTGTCTGCAGCAGAAGGACCGCAGGGCCACTCTGAGAGGGGGGCGAGGAGAAAACCTGGCGATCGGCTTCGACATACACAAGGTCAGATATTCATGGGCGTTGTTATAAAATCTCCAGGTCGTTTGTATTTAAAGGACGGCTGTATTGGATTCAGTCATTTAAACTGGAGTGAAAACTTCTGCTGCTTCCTGTTCAGGTGGAGTTAAACAGGACGTACCGAATGCACGTGACCCAGCAGAAGGTTGGCGGCAGCATCTACATCAACTCGAGGTCTGTCTTCCTGCGCATCGACCTCAAAGAGGGCCGCTACGTCATCATACCCACGACCTTCGACCCCGGCCTGGAGGGAGACTTCCTGCTCCGCGTCTTCACCGATGTCACCTCAGACTGCAAGTACGCGGCACACATGGTTTAGCTCGCCATTTTTAGAAATGTTCTTCTGTTTCTATTAATGTAGGCGAACAGTAAAGATGGCGAACGGCCTCCCTGCTGCACTTTCAGGGGAAAATAAACTCTTGTTTTCCATGCTGGGAACTGAGAGTGAGGGGAGACCTTTGGGCTTCCTCTCAGTTCAGACACGCAGCCAATAAAGACTTTATGAAAACAACAACACATGAAAGCATTAATTATCATTCTGTGTGTACTCAGCGTTGCACATTTAAACACTGAACCACAGAAACGGATCTTCCTGTCTGTCCCGCAGGGAGCTGACTCTGGACGAGCCCCAGAAGACCTGCTGGTCGGGGATGTGTGGTTATCCCTCTCTGGTCACTCAGGTCCACATACTGCAGGCCGACGGACTCGCTGCACAGGACTCAGACGGAGGTAAATGCTTCTGTTCTTCACAGGAAACCTTCCTTACACCTTAAAGACTGTATATAAAAGACGGACATAACCACCGCGATCCACTCAGGCATGTTTGTTTGGCTTTGTGAGAACGATTTGGGGTATTAGCCTTTTACCCCAGATCACGGCCTGATGATTAATCAGCTTTTGAATTCAGTGGCTTCCGATCATAAAACCGGAAAACTCAGAATAAAGTCCTGTTATAAATAAATGTTTAAAGTGTGGTGAGACCTGCATGCGATGCGTTTAGGGGACATCTGTAAATTGTAGCTCAGAAACATCATGAAATGTCCACTGAAGTGTTGATAACTGAACTGTGTCTCTCCAGCGTCGGATCCTTATGTGATCATTCGCTGCGAAGGACAGAAGGTCTGCTCGCCGGTCTATAAAAACACGTGCAGTCCCGTCTTCGACACCAAGGGGCTCTTCTACAGGAAGAAAGCCAACCAGCCAATCGGCATCGAGGTTTGTAACACACAGAAGTGTGTGTGTGTGTGTGTGTGTGTGTGTGTGTGTGTGTGTGTGTGTGTGTGTGTGTGTGTGTCTTCATTTAAAGCGCTGACCTTCTGTCTCTCTGTGTCT